GAAGTGGTTACTGTATTTATTGGATAGCATCCAAAGCAGCTGCTGTGGCAATCTATGTCTGCACTTTTCTCGTTGAAAACCACACAGTTCCAGTTCTGGAAGCATTAAAACCTAAATCATTCTAAGTGTGGAAATGACTGAAACACAACTTGTTGATATGAAGGGGATGGATGGAGTGTTTGATCATAGCAGCAGTTACATGGATAAGTCTATCTCTGAATAAACATGTGTGTGTAAGAAGGCGCAATAGAGGGAGTACATATAACATGTTTGCTTGATTTTTAATTCAGAAAAATAATGCAGATATGGACAAAAAGTTGCATTCGATTTTGTTCATACATCCCATAAATTTCTGATATCAGGCTTAACAAAACTTATTTCTAGTGAATTTACAGTACAGGACTTCACTCAGCAATAAAATCTGAACATCATCATTCTATGAAGGGGCTTTGGTGGGGAAACAAACATTTGATTTCACAGTTCTGTACATGCAAAAAGCTGGTAGGACCATAGTCACATCAACAGTAATAAAGAGCATTTAGATCAGGCTGTTTAATGCAGGATAACGTCTGAGATGCTGTGTTGGACACTGAGCAAGGGGAGTAGGAGATGGGTGAAGTGACCTCAGGCCCGTTTCGAAGAGGTACATTATTTAAGGTGCTTTAGGTCCAGAATATCTTTTCAATTGATGTAGGGTACGTTAGCTTGGCTCATAACATTGTGTAGAAGAGGCTATGTGTAGGGAAGCGTGTTATAATGCGATGATCTGGATCCAATATCTCAGAGCTCATGTTAAGTTGAAGTTCACAAATAAACATTAGGTCATCCAGTATCACTTCCTTTGTCAAATTACGTCAACAAACTCATTCCGCATGTTATGAAATTAGTAATGCTTCCTGTGGGCAAAGCACAGGATTTGATACAACTTGCATTTATATGGCGCCCTACACGTGGCACAGCATCTCAGAGGGTTTAACAGTGTCGGAGGCTAACACGGAGCGAGGTGGGGCGGGGAGAGAGGGTTATCATAAGCATGGTCAAAGAGGAAGGTCTTCAGTCGTGATCTAAAGGAGAGGAAGGAAGGGGCAAGGAGGAGGGATTGGGGAAGAAAGTTCCAAAGCATGGGGACGTAATGGCTGAAAGCATGGCCGCCGATGATGGAGCAGAGGGGACAAGCAGGAGGCCAGACCAGTCAAGCGATGGGTAATGGAGTGGGGAGAGAGCAGGTCAGAAAGGTAGGGAGGTGCCAGGATGTGAAGGGATTGCTTGCAGCACTCTGATAACATGGAAAAAAGGCGTTTTTTTTTTCAGCACCAGATGTCAGATATACCATGTTTCTGGTAAAAGTCAACCGCAGCTGTGCGTAAGTGAACTTTCTGAAAGATTGAGAGTTCTTTAAGGGCTTAAAATAGGCATGAGGTCTAAAATAGTCTAAATAATAACGTCTTCAAAAAAATATATACATCGAGCAAGTTTTTAGTGATTATTTTTTGGGGGAGGTTGGGGAGTAAACAAGCTGCTTTGAATTTAAAACTATTACACAAAAAAATTTGCATTATTATATTTGAGCAGATGAACAGTTACAAAATTAAAACGAAAGGTGCGTGGATGGATTGCGGGGTTGTAATTCTGTTCTGATCTAAGTCCATGCTGGGAGGTGGGTTGAAAGATTAGAATAGTTGGTTTATTTGCTCGACTGGGACTTTCCTAAAAGAAAAGCACAGATTCTGTGTAACATTATAATTAAAAATATAATCGCACCCTGCTCCAAATACTTAGCAAGGCACCAAGAATAGATAACACAATGCTGTACTAATTTTTTCACTAATTTAATGTAGGAATTTAAAATTCATCTTTATTGACAAACCAGATCACTGTGTTCGGGAAATAAAGAGCTCTAATGTTAGGAAATGAAGTGAATTTCATCCGAACATAACTAGGCAGCGAGTTCAATATTGGGTAGAAAAGATCTCTATTAATTGCCTAGTTTAACAACAACAACTTTCATTTATATAGCGCCCTTCACGCCTGACGGGTCTCAAGAGTGCTTACTCCACATCTGACTTGCCAATCTAACAAGAGCTTCAGGTATCACAAAGGATTAAAATGGTTTTAATGCAACCATTGGTTTGAGGAAGGAGTGGCAAATAGCAAGAGAAATACGAGTGAACAAATACAGGTCTTTACATATAGAATCTTACAGCACAGGAGGAGGCCATTTGGCCCATCGTGCCTTTGCCGGTTGTTTGAAAGAAAAAACAACTGGACCCACTCCCCCGCTCTTACCCCAGAGCCTTGCAAATTTTTCCTTTTAAAGTATATACCCTATTCCCTTTTGAAAGCTACTACTGAATCTTCTTCCACTACCCTTTCAGGCAGTGCATTCCAGATCACAAGAACTCTCTGGGTAAAAAAATATCTCATCTCCCCTTCTGGTTCTTTTGCCAATTATCTTAAAACTGGTTACCCACCCATCCGCCAGAGGAAACAGTTTTGCCCTATCTACTCCATCAAAACCCCTCGTAATTTTGAACACCTCTATTAAATCTGCCTTTAACCTTCTCTGCTCCAAGGAGAATAATCCCAGCTTCTCTCGTCTCTCCACATAATTGAAGACCCCCATCCACGGTATACAGTGGACATTTCATTACTGTAATCAAAACATTCTTACTTTAATCTTAAAGATATCAATGTAACATTGACCAGCTATAAACTGGCATACTTGAGCTCTCAACCAAGGCCAGCTAACAGACAACACTGCACAGAAGACAAAACAGATACAACACAAACATGTTATTATCATCACTTGAGACTCTGGAGGTCAATGTTAACGCAATTCCAAAATTACACTCAAGCTCAAGCTGGGCGCAGGCTGCTTATTGGTCAGAAACAAATCATCGGATTTGTTTCCTGAAACAATGTCTCCTAAAACCTGCTGACTGTTATAAATAATAATAATCCTCACATTTGATGTAGCATTTTATCAAGTGTTCGAGACGTTTCAAAGCGCTTCACAGAATATACTGTGAAGTGAAGTGACTATTTATTTTGTGGGCAAAATCTTAATGGCGACATTCTCCCTGTGCCTGGTCAATTTTGCGTAAAACCAATCCCTTGTCTCCTTCAAGGCCTGTCTCAAGACCCTCCTCTTCGACGTGCCTTTGGCCACTCACCTTCCCCCCTCCACCCCTCCTGATCCCAAACTCTAGCTCGGGTCCAAATCCCTGACTGTCCAGCGCATTGGGATATCTTCCCGATGTGAAAGGTGCTATACACACCTAATTTGTTATTGTTGGCAGTGGTGTAAGATAACACTTTAATAGATACAGCATCTCTGATACAGTGGATAACTTTCAAAACACAGCACAGGCATGATGTGCTGAACGGGACTCTCCTATTGTAAACTTCTTTGGTTCTAAGAATTCCAAATGACCCACTTCTAACAGACAATTCTTCCATGACTTAAATCAAACCCACGTGGACCTTTAGGATACAAAGCATTGGCTATCTTGCAGCAGTGTAAAAGGTCACTTCTACTGAGTCATATTACACTACTTCATCTCTGTTTACTCCATTACGCTTTGGTCAAATTTCCCCTTTAATGTATGCTGAAAGGATAAACCCGAAGCAAAAGTTTGCAATGTTACAAAAACCTCAGGTTCTTATATGAATAATGAAATCAGAAACCATTAACTATATTAAAATGTACAGCCGTGAAGATTTGTTTACTTATAAAAATCAAGTAAAGCTTATTTTTCTTGTAACATTAATGCATTAACTTGCCATCTCTACTTCATCTCCTGACTTCAGAATGATTTCAGGTGCGATGCAACTTAACATCACAATGCCAATGTACAGTGAGAATAGGAAAACCCTATTTATTCTAACAAATCGCACTTTAGTTTATATCACCATCGTCGCATTATTACTGTTGACAGGTGTGGAGAAAAGGCAAGCAAGGCGGAAGCAGTGTGATAGAGCTCCAGCTCACTGTGCCAAAAGAATACAAAATACAGACTCGTGTCTGTACCTCTCTCAATCTCTATTGTGCTCCAGTTAGGGAGATGCCAGTGTTTGCCTCAGGCGAGAGAGTGGAAGAGATGACAATCACTGGCAAATGAAGATGCACCACCTCACGAAAAATTCAACAAAGCTTTCTATACATAGATCACATTACAATAGGATTAAGATACTATAATTATACAAATACCTGAAGCTGAAAGACAGGCAAGTTAAATCTAAAACCTGCAAGAAAGAAGGGAGTCCAGCAAATCTACATCGCCACAACCTTATCACTGAAATACTTGCACTTAGAAACAAAGTCACATTGTAATTCAGAGTCTGGCCTCTCGACTCAAAAACCCCACTAACTATAGGCAAGATTTCTTGGCCTCAAGTTAGTCAAATCTGTAGAAGTAAATGGAACTGCATTAATCAAACCGTACATTAAGTCATTCATGGGAATATTCTAAATTTTTTAAAAGAGAATACTATCTCCATGTTTTTCCTTTGTATCCAGTTAACAAACTACATTTTATAATTATCAAATCTAATAGTGCTGAACACAATGTCCGTCAAAACAAATACTTGCTTCCCTCAACCATTGACCTGACACAATATATAATAAATTGTGTTAAGAACAATAGACATACTAGTGGGGACTGATTAGTCGTTTCCTTTAGTTAAATAACCTTCATGAACTTCAGAAGAATGCATAGATAGACATTTTTATCAAGCGTGTATTGTTCATTGTAAATCTAGTCCACAAAAATCCACAAATACCACACTTTCACGTTCTTAAAAAGGGCAACAGAAATATGAGGGTTTACAACTGGAACGTTAATAATTAGTCAGATTTTCTTAAATATATGAATTAAGTTAAGTTCAACTGGAAAAAAAATGCAAGTTAAGAGAACCCTTAACTTTGTAACTTTTGCTACAAAAATCTCTGGCTGAAGCTAGTGATTATTATTGATGGAGCTAAAGACGGAGAGAATTACCTGCGGGGCTGTTAGCAGCTGAAGGAGTGGAGGCAGCACTGGTCATGGAGCCGCTGCAGCCTGTGCTAGTTGTTATGGTGCCGCTGGAAGGTGGGGAGGGGGACGACGCTGGCGAAGGCGCCTGCTGGTTAATGTGCTGGGCCACAGCAAAGCCTAGAAAGCAGGTAAAACAATCCTTTACTCTCTGCACCTTCTCCATGATTTCCTACCTGAAGAATGCAAAGTAATCTCTAGACCTGCTACACTTCTAATATTGCATCAAACAACAGGATATGTGTCTTGTCCTTTTCTCTATAGTAATAACAATAATAATCCTTGCATTTGATGTAGCGCCTTATCATGTCTTCACAATGTCTCAAAGCGTTTCACAGGATATACTGTGAAGTGAATTGACTGTATATTTTGTGGGCGAAATGCAGCAGCCAATTGTGGACAGCAGTGCCCCACAAACAGTCGTGGATTGAAGTGACCAAATTATTATTATTTTTTGAAGGGATTATTGCCCCCAGAAAAGCAATCCACCAATCGACTAACAACTGGGTTCCTACCTTCTTCTAGGTAAACAGAGTCATGTGGAGAAGGAAATTTGCCCAATGTTTTGTCCAACGTTTCTCCCTGCCCAGGTATCGAACTCTAACCACTAAGCTATAGGATGCCACATAGAAAATTAGAAGCTTTCTAAAAAAAAATTGTAAAATACTTTCCAGAATTAGCTAATTCTCTCTCCAGGGAGAGAGAGCGCATTCCATTCCAACAATCTATCTCTGGAATGTCCATGTGTAGGTGGGATGCAAGGAATCTCAGCTTGGTTTGGATACTCTTAAGCACGGTGATGGGTTTCTGTATGTGTCAGACACCCGGCTGATCCCAAAAAAAGGGAAGTGCCAAAGCCAGAAGCTTCTAACATAGTGAGCAAGCACATGAAGAGTGATTAGGCACAGAAACAGGCCATTTGGCCCAACTAGTCCAGGCCAGTGTTTATATTCTATGCAATTCCTCACAAGATCAGTTTGGATGCAAAGACCTTTCTTTCCCGAATGCCCACACTCCTCCCATCACAGCATCATTAATTACTCTCTGGGCAAAAATGAAAAATTCCTGGTGTCTGTCCTGAAACTGCCTTTGCAACCCTTGGTATATCTGAACACATTATTCTGGGTTCACTTTCTCAATCCTATTTAAAATCTTGTATACTGTACATCTATAAAGTCCCCTCTGTGACAGCTCCTTTAAAGACTGAAAAGCCTGAGTTGTCTAATCATTGCTCATTCCTCCAACACTGGGAATCATCCTCATTTCTCTCCTCTGCCCTACCTTTATGGCTTGGGCAGGCCCTTATGCTATGGAGACCAGAACTGGATCCAGTACTCTTGGTGCAGTCTAACTATTCCTGTGTGACTGACCTAATATTGTGCAACTGCCTGAAGCTACAAATTGATTAAATTTGTAATTTGTGCAAAGAATTATGAAAGGTTCCATTTAGGAAAGAAGGAATTTGCTTTTTTGTATTGTATTACCCATCAAAATGCCAAAGGTGTTTCATAGTAAATACGGTCAAGTACAGCAATTGTTTTAATTCCAAGCATAGGAACAGGAGGACGCCATTCAGTCCATCGAGCCTGTTCCGCCATTTGATTAGATCATGGCTGATCTTTATCTAATCCTTTCAATTCCAATTTCCCACTTTCTCCCCATATCCCTTGATACCCTGACCGACCAAAAATCTATCAACCTTATTCTTGAAGGTGTGGATGGATCCAGCATCCATGGCCTTTTGGGGGAGAGAATTCCAGATTTCTATCGCCCTTGGAGTGAAAAAATGCTTCCTGATTTCACTCTTCAATGGCCTGTTTCTAATTTTAAGACTTTGCCCCTTTGTTTTGGAATCCTCCACCCAGAGGAAATGGCTTCTCTGTATCTACCCTATCAAATCCTTTATTATCTTATATACCTCAATCAGATCACCCCTCAACCTTCTAAACTCAAAGGAATACAATCGAAGTTTATGCAGCCTTTCCTCGTAACTTAACCCTTTTAGGCCTGGTAACATTCTGTGCTGCACCGTCTCCAGGGCCAATATATCTTTTGGTGTGGTACCCAAAACTGAACGCAGTCTCCAGATGGGGTCTGACTAACGCTCTATACAGCTGAGGCATCATTTCTTCCCCTCTGTATTCCAGGCCCTGAGATAAAGATCAACATTTCATTTGGCTTTTTGGTTACACAGCAGCCATTTTGCACACTCCAGATCAGATCAGATAAGTCTCTTGACGACTATGAGATGAATGATACTAATCTGGAGGGTAAATGATCAGGAAACCGGGAGAAACTCATTCCTTTTCAAAGTCTCATGGACCTTTAACATCCACTTAACGACAGGCAGTCAGGATCGTAGTTTTAACGTTAATAATAATCATTTCATTTGATACAGCGCCTTACCACATTGTTGAGACGTCTCAAAGCACTTCACAGAATATATTGTGAAGTAAATTGACTGTGTTTTGTGGGCAAAACACGGCAGCCAATTGTGCATAGAAATGTCCCACGAACAGTCATTGAGTGACCAATCCACGATTTTTTTTTTGAGGCATGTGATTAAGGAAACATGCCCAAGATTTTGTTCTGCCCGGGAATCAAACCCACTATCCTACAGGATTCGTGGAGGAATTGAAATGAAACTGTAATTGTTTCATTTACAGTTTAAAGAGAATGCATTTAAGAGGCACAGACAAAGTATCAGCAGCACTCTGCAGGATGCATTGCTATCAAGGGATTAATTGAAAGTCATCTATACTTAAATTTATTGAGAGCCTGTCCTACTTAAACCACATTGTTATCAAAATCAGAGAAACTGGTACCATTCACTGAGTAACAAGAACCTCCTACTGATTAAAGCTCTTATCACCATAAGTGGTGAGGCTTAAAAATGTTAAACATGTGATGAGAGAGGGGTTCAACATAATTGGAGTCCTGTAGCTCAGTGGTTAGAGCACTCGCTTTGCAAGCGAGAGACCTGCGTTCAATCCCAGGCAGAGGGCGAAACCTTGGGCAAGTTTCCTTACTCCACACAGAGCCTAATAATAATCCCTCCAAAACAAAACGATAATAAAATTGGTTATTTTCAATCCATGACTGTTTGTGGGACATTGCTGTGCGCAATTGGCTGCCGCGTTCGCCCACAAATATACAGTCAATTCACTTTACAGTGTGTTCTGTGAAGCGCTTTGGGACATCCTCCCGATGTGAAAAGCGCTATATCAAATGCAAGGATTATTATTATTAAGTCCGACACCAGTCCCACAATCAATACAGATCTTGCCCAAGGCCTAAAAAATACACCAGATGAATTATACCCTAGCATCCTTTAGTAGCTAGCTTAAATATACAGCTTATAGCTCTGGGCCAAGTAATCAGTAACTAATAACTAGGATATGAAGCAATGCTTGATTAAGCCATAGTGGTTTAAGACCTGCTTGCAACACTGTTGCTCAAATTTCCCCTGAAATTTTGGCTTTGCCTGTACTTGCAGCAAAAGCTCCCGAGAAAACTGAGTGTGCCACTTCCTTCACTTTACAATTATTTGATAACCGGCTATTGACTAATATCGATGTTAAACGGGGTCTTTTTATAGTTCAGCCGGCTTCCAAGTAATGTGTTTGGCAACACAATGCTGGAATCGACTCAAACTTCTGTGGCGGTCTCCAACCCGGTTCCTGAGCTCCTTCGTAGTATTCCAGGGCACTGCTGATGAGAGCTCAGGTCGGCTCACCAGCAGGAATTGGAAGGGCAGAACAGTCACTGGGGGTAGAGATTCTTCTCACTCAGTTCTCACTTTAACCCTGCAAGTCAAAGCCCCAGCAGTCAGGGTGGTTCCGGCTGGTGCCCTGAATGGCAAGCTATGTCAGTTTCGCTGGTTAAACTCCAGCAGTTACCCCAACGCAGATTCTGGTATCCCCAAGCCTTAGCTCTTGAAACTTCTTGTCACAGTACTCTCCGGTATTAGTTTAGTGTCTCTTCAGGGACGAAGGGAAATTTCAAGTGTGTAGGTGGCATTATGTACGTGGAATTCTGTCTGCATTGGATGCTCTTTAAGCGCGGTGATGGGTTTCCGCATGTGTCAACACACCCGGCTGACCGAAACCCCCAACATTTGAACTCCTCCTCCAACAAAATAGCTAACCACACGTTCTCTATTACTGCTCTATATAGAACTTCTACAAGCACCTCAGTGAAGGTCAGGATTGTGAGTTTCAATTAACGACAAGCATGCTAAACTTTTCTCTAACTTTTTTTTTAAAAAATGCAAGTGAATGAACAATGGTATGTTGATGATCTTCTGAAAACATACACATGCTGCCACTCTGCAAGCCCTCTGCATGTCCAGCGAGGGAAATTCATTGCAAGGGCACTGCTGATGACCAATTGTTGGTTTGATATTGACATTTGGGAAATTTCTGCAAGGCCAGAAACTCCCTGAAATCTGCATCTTTCACTACATATTACACTACACATTTGTTCTGTAAGAGCTCAGCAAGCAAACAGATACCACAACACTAGTCTCAAATTGTTTATGGCATCTTAATTCAACACTTAATAAACTGCAGCAGTGCATTGAGTATTCAAAATGATCTGGTTCACTGACAAATTGAACACAAACAACTGCTGCTGAGAGAGTAAGGAATCTCATCTTCAATCATTACAGAAACACGAGGTATGAAGGATATGGAGGTAAGATGGAAAGGAGGGGGGGTGGGAGTAAAGTCCAGGGAGCTGAGCACTGAGCTGGTCGACTTGACTGATACTGGAGACAGCAAGAAAGGGTAGGCAGAAGAGGTGAATCGGAGCCTGATGTTACGTTTGCCCTCCAGGTAGATTCCAGAAGAGTTGGCTGAGGAGAGGAATGTGTCATATGTTTTGTGACCAGAATTGAGCCAATGCAAAGCAATTTGGGATTGAATAGGGGCGAGAGTATTAATGGTAAAGACGAGCAAATCAAATACATATTTGGCCATTTCACCAGTGTAAATCGTGGAGACATCTCCCCTCCCACTAAGTATCCGCGTTTAGGAGTCTGTGTCTCATTATTAATTTGTTCATCATTAAAGAAAATGTCGGGGACCTTTCAAACAACAACGACTTGGATTTATATAGCA